TCCAGAGTGGTTGTACTAAGTCTACATTCCACCAACAGTGTAAGAGGGTTCCTTTTCCCCGCATCCTCGCCACACTGTTGTTGGTGTGTTGCTGATGATTGTTCATTCTACACAGGGGTTGGGTGGAATCTTAGCGGTGGTTTAATTTGCATTTCCTTTATTGCTAGAGATGGTGAGCATTTTTTCATGTGTTTTTTTTGGACATTTGAATTTCTTCTTTGAGAAGTTCTGTTTAGTACACTTGCCCATTTCTTTATTGGTTCATCATTAATTTTGGGAAGTGTTTAGTTTTTAAGTTCCCTATATATTCTGGTATATATCTAGTATTTTGTCCTGATGTATAGTTGGCAAATATTTTCTCCCACTCTGTGGGTGTTCTCTTCAGTTTAGAGACCATTTCTTTTGATGAACAGAAGCCTTTTTTAGTTTTATGAGGTCCTATTTATCTATGCTATCTCTTATATGTTGTCTCTGTTGATGCTGGGTGTTTCGTGAGAGAAAGTTCTTCCCTATACCTACTAACTCCAGAGTATTTCCTACTCTTTCCTGTATCAACTTTAGAGTTTGTGGTCTGATATTAAGATCCTCGATCCATTTTGTGTTAATGTTGATGACTCTTGATTTTTAAGGTGTAGCCATGATTTGTCTTTCATCATAATGCATCATAGCAAATTCTCTCCTCTCTTCTTTTTCCACTTGGTTATTTCTTTATATATTTCTTTGTTCAGGTTAGTTTTCATTATTAGCTCACCCTTACAGATGCCCCAACATGGTCATCTCCAGCTCCATGTTCCTCTGCCAGGCTGAATCAACTTTCTCCCAAGTGCCTAGAGCACACATCAGGACCATGTACAAAAGTGTCCCCTGTGAGGAGACATGAGAATTGATGTTCATACACTCAGACACATTCTTGGAGTCCTGTACTAAGCACAGTAATGCCCTCCACTTATTCTGATTCATTTTGAAATGAGAACCTTTTTCACCTTTTCTTGTAAGAGCTGTAGAGTCATTGTTAACATAGAGGGAAAAATTGGATATCTTGTTTTCTTTTACTGTGGCAAAGGAACCATACTTGAGGACTAAATCCAGTTCTTCTGATTCTAACTTTCCCTCCAGGAACTGACAGTTCTTCTCTATAGTAGCTCCTGTGTCCTAATAGGAAAAAAAATCAATAATGAGGATATGGAAGAGAAAGGCAATGAGAAAAGTAGATGATAAGGTGTGACCTTTAGAATAAGGAGGATGAGCAGAATGGGGAGAAGCAGAGAGGAAGTTCATGTTGAAATGAGTCAGGGGTAAGTTGGATGCAAGGAAGAGGAACGAAGAAGTAAGAGCCTGAAGTGTGTACATGATGTTGGGGTCAACATAGACTTCCCATTATGGTTGAGCTTAGGGCTACCTAAAGACAGGATCTGAGTTTTTAAAAAAGTATTAAACTATCCACCAATGTTTATTTTTAATATGAAATCATAGAGTGAATCAATAAAAGTATGTTTTGAATTGTACACATCAGGCAAAAAGAATAATAAATTGTGGAAATACAGCTGATAAAACTAAAAGAAGAATTAACTGCTCTTATTTTTATCTTATTTCAAAATTGTGACACAATTTGAGATACCATATTTTTTCTGTAGCATCCTATATATTTTCGTTATTGAAAGAAATATTTATTAGAACTAGAGTACCATAGAGGGAATAGGAATGTCCTTGTGATTTATAACAAAAGAGTGTTCAAAGAAGTAAGCATTTGATAATTTAAGGTGCTAGGATCAAATAAGCTTCATGACAAGACAACCCAGTCACACATATGGACAATGATAGGACATCAAATATCAGTATTCACATAAGATCTAGAAGTTTGGGAACATTCTTCCCATGGGAACATCCCTGGAGGAAAACCTGCCATTTTCTCCTGGAATAGTTTATTAAATACTTCAGCTTCTTTTAAAGTAAAGTGATCATTCCATTCCCCAGAAATTCCAGGAAAACATATAGCAGACACAGAGACCAGATTTAAGACCTCATTACACCCTTTCCTACATCTGCTTGCACCAACTACCTGACATGGACATTGTAGCTAATATACTAAATCAATAGTCACTCCTCTGGGAGTCCTGTACTGCCTTGCATTTATATCCATAATACTTCTATCTCCTGGAAATGATTTCATGTCTTCATCTGCCTCTCGACAATTCCTGCACACAATCTAACAACAGAAACATTGGCTGCTTTTCTGATAAATCTGTTAATGGCAATGGTGCAGTCTCTGATCAGGAGATATCCAAATTCTTTGTGTCTAATGGGGAAGAATCTATGTCAGGACTCGAGGTGTAAATGCAGTTTATTAAAATTTGGGAAGGGAATTACAAAAGGGGTTATGGTGAAACCAGGTGGAAGACAGAAGCAGGGATTCCTTCTCTTTCCAGGTGCCTTTATACCTTTTGCTAATCTATGAGAATGGAAGGAACTTCTCGTAGGTGATTCCTAACCAGTAATTGATAACCGGGAAGGGGCAAGAGTGGTCCTAGGGCCAATTGAGGGTCATTGGGGTTGTTCCTGAGCTAGGGTGTGAATACCCTACATACATTTGTAACTAAAAAGAGAAAAAGAGGAAAGTTGAATCTGAAATATAGTACTAGGTCATATTTTCTAATAGTCCCAAACTATCCCTATTTCTACCCTGCCTCAACTTCCCCCTGAGAGACAATATCTGACAAAGGCCTTGTTGATGTTGCTGAGGGGCTGGTGTTCTCTTCTGAATCTGCTTCAAGCTGACAAGGGACAGCAGACCCTACCTACAAGGGAATTGTCTTTCCTACTTCTCTCCCTTGGGGCTAATTTGGATACAAGGTGATTCCCATTGTCTGAGTTATTGTCCAGCACAATCAAGGTTGCCCATAGAGATCAAGGTTTCTTGGAGAGATCAAGGTTGCTCATGGAGATCTTGATTATCTGTAGAGATTGAAACTGGTGTTGCCTCATGATTTGGGTCTGAAAGGCTTCTATCCTGGAAGAGATAAATCTGGCTCACAAGGCATAAGCCTAGCATGAACATTGATAGGCATATCAGAAGGAGCCATGCCTGGTGTGGCACCAAGGATAAAGAAGCTAAAGTTTCATTTTCAAAAGTGACAAACAATACTTACCTGGCAGGGGAGATACCATGATCACGAAGGTGGTTTTCCCAGGGAGAGGCTTATCCACTGCACTCCAGATGTACTGACCCCTGCGATTTCCCCAAATGTGGGAAACTCAACTGCATAATTTGTGGTAGTGGGGGACTGCATTTGCACTCTCCCCTGAAAAAAAAAGTGACGAACATCAGAGACTTTTGGTTTCTTTTCCTATGGATGTCTATACCTGTAGTTATTTTTAACCCCGAATTACTTCTTTGTTTGGACTGCAATGGTAGTGGGGCAGTTAAGGACAGATTATTTGGGGTAATAGCTACATTAGGGGCCAGGTGTACCAGGGGCAGTTGCAGGTATAATTAGAAGATAAATGTCAGTAGGAGGCATTTCTGTACAGACACAAGACTCACAGTTTCTCTAAGCACAAGTTAGAAAACATTGAAGTAGAATACAAGACAGAGTATAAACAACTCTATTATTAAAAGCACAGATCTGGAGCTAGTAGAATTGGTCTCATTGCCTTTGCATACACAGGTCACTGTGCAGCCATCTGGTGGAATCATTTTCTCTGAGTGGAAATGGAATTAGGCCTGGTCCATGCTCCCCAAGCACTGTGCACTGTGTGGCAAGTGCTGAGTGTTCATCATCTGTGATGATTTATGAAATTGAGTCTTTACCTGGTTTGGGGTAAGTCAGTGTTACAACATCTTCATCCTTCACTAGAAACTTGTCACGTACTTCTGTAGAAGTACGTAGATAGTCATCAACGATGATGAAGAACTCTTTGTGTGTGGTGTTAGGCAGCCTTCTGTAACCACCTGGGGAGGATATAGCAGAATCTGGAAGATCTGATAAACTAATGATAAAAGAATCACTAACTTCTTCCCCATTCATTGTGAAATTAACTCTCAAACAAAAGTAGGTATTATACATGATGGTCAAAGTTTGGATGTATTAGGCAGATGTGAAAATAGTCTGTCCAAGGTTTGAGTCTAAACTCACGGGCAGAAACCAGACAGTAATAAAAGGACAAGCACATAGTTTATGGCATAATTTAAATTTTATAAATAAACTTTAAATTTTGAATTGTTTTAGGTGCATGGAATCATTGCAAAGAGAACTCCCATATGCCATTCTTTTATAAATTATTCATTTATTCACATGTGCATACACTGTTTGGGTCATTTCTCCCCCTCCTCTCCGCCCCCAACATCTCCCCCGCTTCAAGCAGAAACCTGTTCTGTGCTTTTCTCCAGTTCCTTTGAAGATTAGAAATAAGCAATAATAAGAAAGACATAGCATTTTTGCTAGTTAAGATAAGGACAGCTATACAGAGAGATTCCTAGCATTGCTTCCATGTACAAATGTGTTACAACCCAGGTTGATTCATCTCTAGCTGGTCTTTACACTGGTTCCTGATACTCTTCTTGTGTTGACCTCTGTTGCTTTAAGGTTTCTGTATTAATTCCTCCAGAGTGGGGGCATCAAATGCTTTCATTTTTTGGGTTTTCTATCTAACCCCGTACCTCCTGTATATGTTCTCCCCTTGCCATGTAACCCAAGTCCTACTACATTGCTGTATCTGCCCTTGATCTAAAGACCACACATGAAGGAGAATCTACAGTTTTTGGTCTTCTGAGCCTGGCTGACCTTGCACAAGATGATGTTCTCCAGTTCTATCAATTTACTTGCAAATGATAAGATTTCATTTTTCTTCACGACTGAGTAAAATTCCATTGTGTATAAGTACAACATTTTCTTGATCCATTTATCAGTAGTGGGGCATGTTGGTTGTTTCCATAACTTGGCTATTGTGAATAGTGCTGTAATAAACATGGGTGTGCAGGTGCCTTTGGAGTAACCTGTGTTGCATTCCTTTGGGTATATCCCCAGGAGTGGGATTGCTGGATCATATGGCAGATCTATGTTTAGATTTTTAAGAAGCCTCCAATTTTTTTTCCAGAGTGGTTGCACTAGCTTGCATTTCCACCAGCAGTGTACAAGGGTTCCTTTTTCTCCACAACCTTGCCAACACCTGTTGATGGTGGTGTTTTTGATGATGGCTGTTCCAACAAGGTTGAGATAGAATCTTAGTGTGGTTTTGATTTGCATTTCCTTTATGGCTAGAGATGGTGAACATTTTTTCATGTGTTTTTTTGCCATTTGAATTTCTTCTTTTGAGAAAGCTCTGTTTAGTTAGTTGCCCATTTCTTTATTGGTTCACTGATTTTGGGAAAGTTTAGTTTTTTAAGTTCCCTGTATGTTCTGGTTATCAGTCCTTTGTCTGATGTCTAGCTGGCAAATATTTTCTCCCACTCTGTGGGTGGACTCTTCAGTTTAGAGACCATTCCTTTAGTTGTGCAGAAGCTTTTTAATTTTATGAAGTCCATTTTTTCCATTCTTTCTCTTAGTTGCTGGGTTTCTGGGGTTCTATTGAGAAAGTCCTTGCCTATACCTGTTACTCCAGATCGTTTCCTGTTCCTTCCCATACTAACTTCAGAGTTTCGGGTCTGATATTAAGGTACTTGATCCATTTTGAGTTGATACTAGTACAGGGTGATATACATGGATCTGGTTTCAGTTTCTTACAGATGGACAACCATTTTCCCCAGCAACATTTGTTGAAGAGGCTGTCTTTTCTCCATCGTATATTTTTGGCACCTTTGTCAAAAATAAGGTGGGTATAGTTGTGTAGATTCATATCCTGGTCCTCTATTCTGTTTCACTGGTCTTCATGTCTGTTTTTGTGCCAGTATCATGCTGTTTTTATTGCTATTGTTTTGTAATGTAGTTTGAAGTCGGGTACTGTGATACCTCCAGCATTGCTCTTTTTGCTGAGTATTGCTTTGGCTATTTACAGTCTCTTCTGTTTCCAAATGAACTTTAGGGTAGATTTTTTTTCAATCTCTGTGATGAAAGTCATTGGGGTTTGATGGGAATTGCACTAAACATGTAGATTGCTTTTGGTAGTATAGCCATTTTTACTATGTTGATTCTACCAATCCATGAGCACGGGAGATCTCTCACCTGCTCTGTTGGTGAAGCTGTGAAGAGAGTTCACTTTTGCTTTGAACTTCAGTCATTCCCTGTAAGAAGCACTGGTATCTATGGTTGACCCTAGAGTCCAGGATCCATGGGACTACAGTATTCTCTGAGTGACACTGGAGTCTTGCTCTGTGCTGCACTACATTCACACCCAGTGACAACCATGCTTATTCTGCATAATGGAAAACTCTTTTCTCCAGGTGGCTTCCAAGTCCATGCTGCCTGGACTGAAGTTATCATGTTGTGCCCTTGCTCTGTGCAAGAGTTCATTTACCCATATAATGCAAAAGTCCATGCTATACAACTGTCCCCACATACTCATTCATCTGGACACATACATCATTTTCTGTACTAGTTACAATGTGCTGCTCTATCTGATCCCACATCTGGAATTGTTTCACATAGCAGCTTGGGTGTTTCCACAGTGAGTGTCAAGGTGGGGTTCCACAGAAGGAAGCAAGAAATGTGGTGTTTTATGAACAGTATTTCTATAAGCTCTCCATCTCCTGAGAGACTGTAAAAATGTCCCCTCAGACAAGTCTGAATTTAGGGAGCCAGTGTGCAGGTTATAGGAGGGAATAAGGGATTTGATTCAGAGTCCAAATGAATTTGTTGAAGAAAACTGGGAAATGCATTAATCGATAAAAATAATATCTCCACGCTGATACTGTTGAATATAGAACTGAATGTCTGAAAATATTTATGTTGGGAAGGAGTGAAAACAGCTGAAATTTTACGTCCTGTTGATGACAGCAAAATTCATATGAATCAGTGGGGGAAAAACTGGGGAACAACCTGTCAAGAGATCTGTGAATGAATCATCAAGATCACTTCCAGGTTTATATCCTCAGAAACACAGCTTGTTCACATCATGCCACCAAGCAACATCATGCTTTAGTTGGGAAACACAATCAATGAGAGAGAAACTGAGTGATTCACACGAGAATTGGTAACTAAGCTATGTCAAAAGTCTCAACACAATTCTGAACTTCTGTACATGTATCCCACAAATGAAACCCAAGTATAAAATGTTCAGTTGAAATGTAAGACAATATGTATTAATTTTAAAACCAGCCACAAATACTTTTTTAATTGTGAAAAGCACAGAGTAATACAATAAAGTACATTTTGAATTAAACACTTCAGGCCAAAATAATAATAAACTGTAGAAACAGAGAAATTAAAAGGAGAATTAGCTGCTTTTAGTTTTATATCGTATTTCAAAAATGTGACACAATTTGAGATACCATATTTTTTTCTGTAGCATCCTATATATTTACAATATTACAAAAGATTTTTTAAAAAAACTAAGAGTACCATGGAGGGAATAGGAGTGTCCTTGTAATTTACAACACAAGAGTGGTCAAAGAAGCAAGCATTTGATAATTCAAGGCACTAGGATGTACTAGAGCTTTTGTGACAAGACAGCCTAGTCACAAATATGGACAAGTATAGGACCATAAATATTATAGATCATGAATATCTAGAAGCCAGTGGGTGGAGCTGGAAGCTGCCTCCAGTTTGACAGATATTGGGGATGTGGGAGTCCATGCAACTGCTAATTCCTCCTCAGACATGACAAGACTTGACAGTGTGGAGGCTAAGCTTTAATCTGCTTTGCCTGCTCACCAAGCCAACACAGTGTTCCCTGTAGGACTATAACCATGCCAGAGAATTCTATGGTGGGGGCACAAGACTTGTCATCAGTTGAAGCCATGTGTGAGCTGCTTCTCGTGTGGGTGTCCTCACAGTGTTCCCCTCTGTCAGTGTTCCTATGGGTGGGAAAAGTGTGAGGAGCACCAACATATCCTTTAATTGTCTCTCAGATTCTAAGCCTGGAGAAGGCGACAAAACCAAAGAAGTATGAGGTGGGTGTGCATGTGGCAGGTATTGAGTGACCCTTCCTCTGTCATAGTGGTCTGTTTCTGCACCTGCATGAATCCCATGGAACTAATCTTGCTCGTCTGTTGATATTTGCACCACTGCTTTTAAATGAAAGTGTCTTCTGCTTCACTCTGAAATACAGATCCCAACTCCTGCTAGGTAGACTTATGTCCCCAACACTACATCACAATCAGTATTCCTGGGCCCACAGTAGCAATAGGGATTGGATGCACAGTGAAGCAGTAAACAGAAAAGGCTTGAGGGACTTGGAAATATGAAGCTGCAGGGGTGCTAATGCCACCAGCAGTCAGGCCATACACTAGGACATCTCTTAAGTTGGTTCTCCATTATGGCCCCATGACTAAGCTTGTGAATGCAGAAGACCCTTTCTCCAGTGCCAGATTGCCGTGTCAATGGAGGAGCTGCTTTCTTGCACTGTATTTTTGCAAGGTCCTGGATTCTGTTTCAGTAGAGCTGACTATGATTTTTCTTCTGTCTTAATTCCTCAGTTTCACTCTTTTCCTTATCACAGCATGCTGCCTGGAATACGCCATCAGGGCTCTCTTTCTCTTGTAATTACAAACTCAATTATTTCTGGGCTTGGCCTGCTCACTAGCTACTTCTTGCTCACCTGCACCTTTCCATGGCACTCTACCTTCTCTGCACCCACGCCCGCTGTTTTGCTTCACTCTTGTAGAGATGCAGGAAAGTGCCCGGTGTCTCTAACCTGACATTTCAAAGCAAAGTCTTGCATTGAGATTTATCTTTACATCATTTAGCCTGAGAAGGATAGAGTCTGCCCAATTTCTGAGATGGCAGGAAGGTACCTTTCCTATGCTACAATGCAAAGTACTTGATTTCTTCCTGATGGTGCTAATCTCTTCAGTAACCACTTTCTTTGGTCCCAGCTTGAAATATACTCCTTTCCTAGCCAAACAGTGTGTTTTTTAAATACACACTATTCTCCTCATTCTTACTGTAAGTCTGGTTTTGAAAAGGTAGCAATATTCATACCACAGCCTGAATGCAAATGGCCTTGAAACTATGTACTCTACACTATATAAGCCATCACACTGAAATAAATCTTCCCACATTGCCTAAGAGCAAAGACAAAACATATACAAGTTCTTTACAAGACTGTCACATGAATGGTCTTGAGTCCAACTCCTAAAAAAGTCCTAGTTCCCATCTGAATGTGCAGTACTTAAGTCTGCTGTTGACATTCCCATAAGCATTCTGGCATTGTGAGAACCCACTGCATTCATCCATTTAACTCTGCCTGCAGCATTCATTACTTTCACCAACCAGCTTCTATAAATTCTTCCAAACTTCTTCCATAAACCAGTTCCAAAGGCTCTGAAGCACTTGAAAATATACTGTCATGACAGTGACCCCAATAATTAGGACCAATTTTCTGTGTCAGTTTTTCATTCACGTAACAAAATACCTGAAATAAACAACTTAAAGTAGGAAATATTTATGTTATATCATGGCTTCAGAGATTACAGGCTATGGATAGCTAGTCTCATTGTTTTAAGGTCTGTAGTGATGCAATACATCACAGTAGAAATGTGCATTGGTGGGGGGATGGAGAAAGTTTCCTCACTTCATGGCAGCCTGTAAGTCAAAGAGAAAGGAAGGGCCCAGGGTCAGGATTCACCCTCCAAAGCCAAGACCTCAGTAACTTACTTCCTCTATCAAGCAGAATGAGAGCCCATTCTGCTATGAAATCATCAGTGTATTAATCCATTCATGAGGTTAGTGATCCAATCCCTCTCAATCCTGCCACCAAGTCTTTAAAATATGAGCCTTTGGGTCAGAAATTTCACATTAAAAGCAGAGTAAATCGTCTTTCTTGTGTGTCTGTGTCTTAATCCCCTCTCTTTGTGGGGACTCCAGCCATATTGGATTTGTAGCCACACTAACTCCACTACCACTTTGAAGTTATCACCTCCAAATATATTTGTATTCTGAGGTACTGGGCATTACCAGTTTAATAAATAAATTCTGAGGGACACAACTCAACATATAACAGATATTCATCTCTACTTCAACCTCAGAGCAGACACCTGGCAGTAGGTACTAGAGAGATCATTTGGGTCATACCTACAGATTACATGGACTCGTTCCTCATCTCCTGTCTTTCTTCTGTTCTGTTGAATTTCCCATCATCATTCATCTCGCAGACATTCAAGCAACAAATCTGAACTGGATTCCTTCCTTCCATCCTTCCACAAAAGTTGAGTCATTCAGAATTATGTGAATACTTTTTCAGACATTTCTAAATGCATATGGGCTCCTTTATCCCCAATACCATGTTCTTATATCAAGCCATTGCTTTCCTGCGTATAGTTACTGAAATAAACACATAAGCTGTACATGTTACCTGTGGAGTAGCACTCATCTAATGCTGTCCCTATAAGTGAGTGTAAACTCACATGTGCTTAGGATTCTCTTACTTAAAGTTCATTAAAAGTAGAATGCACCTCAGTGGTAGAGTACAAACGGTCCTGGTAAGACAAGTCACCCAGCACTACAAATCCTTTAAGAAGCCTTGGATGAGGATTACTGATGCATCACATGCCTAGTGTGTGTGAGGCTCTTCTTCAGTCCAAAATGCATGCCCAACTTTGAAGGATTATTGATATTTTCAATTAACATGATATTTATGGACTATAATGTGCTGATTCTATGCATGAATTCAATGTATAATGATTAAATCATGTTGCATAGCATTTCCTTTTCTTCAAACAGTCTTCATTTCTTTGTGTTTGGAATCCTCAGACTCTCCTAGTCATTGGAAATACATCATAGATTATTGTAGACTACAGCTGCTCTACTGTGCTATAGAACATTACTACTGATTGCCCCTGTGTAACTGTATTTAACCTGTTTTCTAACCTTTTTACCACTTCCCTTCCCCTTCTTAACCTCTGCTGACTGCTGCTCCACTCTCTACCTCTGTGGGATCAACTTACTTTAGATTCCACAAATGAGTGAGAACACGCAGTGTTGTTCATTGTCTGACTTCTTTCACTTAATCCATGTCCTATGGTTCCATGCATGCCACCACAAATGACAGGAAATCATTACTATTCACTTGTGTGGCTCAACACCATTCCATTATGTGTATATGTCTCATTTTCTTTGTCTTTTAACTATCAATGGAAATATTTGTTTAATCTATATCTTCATTATTGAGAGAAGTATTTCAGTTCTTTTCCAAATGCTTTAAAGTTGATATTTTTCACTTACAAAACATCAGTATATGTATACAAGGGGTATGTTGTGATATTTTAATCAAATTCTTTAGTTCCTATCCACTAGTATGATGTGCAAAGTCTTTGTAATCTCTGCTCCAAATTCCACAGGCACTTTTTTCTACCCATGCATCCATACAAAAAGTAGTAACTCCTTATAGACAAAAAAAAAAAAGAAAGACAGAAAGAAAAACTATGCACTAAAGATACACACAGTAAAATGTTCAAATTTATAGAAAATATAGAAGAGTACCTTTGAAACATTGGTATTAAGAATTTCTTCCTGTCAGGCACCAATGGATCATGCCTGTAATTAAACCTACATGAATTAGATTAGGAGGGAAATAGATTGTGAGACCCAAATCTCCAAAATAAACAGAGCGAAATGGACTGGATGTGTGGCTCAAGCAGTAGAGTACCTACTTTGGAAGTGTGAGGCCTCGAATTCAAACCCCAGTCCAAATAGAATGGAAGGGAAGGAGGGAGAAAGGAAGGAAGGAGAAAAGTAGGGAGGGTTCGGGAGGTAGGGAAGAAGGGAGAAATAGAGAGGAAGAGAGAAAGAAAGAAGAAAGGAAACAAAGAAGGAAAGAAACAAAGAAGAAAGAAGAAAGAAAGAAAGAGATGAGAGGGAGGTAGGGAAGGAAGAAAGAAGGAGGGTAGAGAGGGAGGGAGGGAGAGAGACAAAGGAAGAAAAAAAGAAAGGGAAGGAAGGAAGGAAGGGAGGTAGGGAGGGAGGGAGAGAGGAATTCTTCTGTCATATGATCCAGTGATACTGCTCCAGGGCATCTACACCAAGGAACGTATGTCAGGATATAATAGAGATACTTGTACACCAATGTTCATTGCAGAACCATTCACAATAGCCAAGCTATGGAAACAAACCAGATGCCCTACAATTGACGAATGGATCAATAAAATATGCATATGCAATGGAGTGTTACTTCAGTCATAAGGAATGATGAGATGTGGTTTGCAGGTAAATGGATGGAATTGGAGGACATCATGTTAAGTGAAGTTAGCCAAGATAAGCAAAACAAACTCCACATGTTTTCTCTCATACATGGAAGATAGATCTAAAAGATAAACATATACACAGAACAAGCATGATCATATACACACTGAGATGTAGAATAGTGGAACTACTCTATGGAACTTGGGGAAAGAGGGAAAGGAAAAGATAATGATAGAGCATCACTAATTTCATAAACATAACATGTGTGAAGGTAGACAATATAAGGATGTATATTGAAAAAAATGGGGGCTGGGAGGTAAAAGCGTAAAGGAGAGCAATGGAAGGGGCTGAATGGACCAAGATAAAGTATACTCACAGTGGGGATATATAGAGAAATAACTTTGAACATCAACTTAAATATTAATAAAAGTCAGGATTGTAAAATAGGTACAGTGTGTGCCTGGGGTACAAGTGGGTGAAGAGTGAATGAAGGAGATTAAGGTGAGGGTGTTGGATTGATGGGTTTCACATACTTAAGCATTACTTTAAGTGAGGCAGGGAAGGGGTTGAGGGGGAGAGAGGATGGGTGTGATCTAACCCATGTACAATCTAAGCCTGACTTGAACTGTCGGTATGAATCTTCCACATAAAGAATATATCATAATAAAGAAATTTATAATTAAAAAAAGGAATTCTTCCAGCTCACATAATGAACAATATTGAGTACAAATGACAGGAATCTTGGTACTGTGCTTATTTTTAAATTTTTTATTAGAATATATTTAATGTATGGGGGGATTCATTATGACAACCAAATAAGCTTATATTGTACATTGGTTAGATCACTCCCACCATCACTACCCCTAAACCCCCTCCTCACCCCTCTTAAAGCAATTGCAAGAGGATTCTCTGTTCTATTTCATATAAGCATATGAATTTCATTCCACCCTATGCAATCACCTTAATTTGCTTCATTCACTCTACCCATTCCCACAACTGCCCTCCACACACACTATACCTATTTTATAGACCTGTCTTTCAATATTAATGTTTAACTCAATGTTACAAGGGGTTTTCAATGTGTCCCCACTGTGAGTCTACTTGTCTTCGGAACTTTCAACCCTTTCCATTGCATTCCCTTACCCTTCTACTTGGCACTGTACTTCTAAAATAAAATACATGTGAATGAAAGTAGAAGCAAAAACAAAAAATGTATTTACAATGTATAAGATGTTCAAAGGATTGGTAAGCAGAAATTATTAAGAATGTGCCAAAAGTAAATGGTAGAGCATAAATACAGGCAAAATATAAGTACAGAGGTGATAAAACAGTCACGCCAAATGTTCCATATAATGTTTTAAAGTTTTTGAGGGGTACAGGGTGCATCTCAGTAGTAGAGTACGCACTACAACAAAAGAAAAGAGTTCTTGAAGCCAGAAGTGGTGGTACATACCAGTAATCCCAGCATTTGGGAGGCTGAGACAGGAGCAGCGTGAGTTCAAAGCCAGCCTTGGCTACATAGAGAGTGAGAGGAAAGTCTGGACTGCATTGCAAAACCCTGTTACAAAAAAAGTTAAATTGAAGCCAACTAATTATCTGAAAAATGCATTCTCAGATAAAAGAAGATCTTTCATGCTAAAAAGGTTGTACAATATAATTAAATCTCTGAAAAGTCTTGTATATAGAAGGAGGTAGAGTAAATGATATTTTTATCTCTTGATGGTGGAAGAACAATTAGATATGAAACTATTGTAGAAAAATTTGGCCACAAATTTATGAAGAGGCCCATGAATGAACAGTCAAGTTCACTTCAAGATATGCATCTTAGGAAAACTCTTATACTTTTTCCATCATTCCCTCAAAAATCACGTTTTAAATAGGCAAGAGTTTTACTGAGCGAGAACCCCAATCAGTCTCAAGAGAATGGGTAACGAAGCTATGTAACACATCTCAATACAATTCTGAACCTGTCTACATGCATCCCCCAAAATGAAAGCCAAATGTAAAATGCCAAGTAGAAATGTGTTGGTGAGTGCATTGCACAAATGCTACTTATGTGTTTCAAAACCCTTCACTTGTCCACTTTGTTATTTAGAGTCAAACACCAATGAGCAAGAAAATAGAAGTAGGTTGGGAATGATACTTCTCAAATCACAATAATGATAAATTCAATAACAACTTGTGAAAATACATGTGATAGAATGAAAGGGAGCTTTGGAAACTTCTAGATTTTATATCTTATTTTAAATTAATGACACAATTTAGTGATATGTGTATTATTTCTGTGACATTCTGAATATTGCAAACATTACACAGACCTTTTACAAGTTGGGGTTCCTGGTAATTTATAACAAATGAATGTGCAAAGAATCAAAGATTTGATAATTCAAGGCACTAGGATTAAATAATAGTTTTTATGCCAAGACCACCCAGTCATATACAGGGACAGGAAAACAAATGCCAGTACCCATAGGACATCCAGAAATTTTTGGAAATTATTCCCAGGGAATAGCCCTGGAGGAAGACCTGCCAGATTCTCCTGGAATATTTTATTAAAGGCTTCAGCTTGGGATACCATAAAGTAATTCTTCCAGTCTCCACAGATGCCTGAAAAACATGAAACAGATATTAGACCAGATTAAGACACCATCACATTCCTGCCTATGTGTGTTCTTACCACTCATCTGATAAAGACATGGAAACTAATATGGCAAATCTCCAATGGCTCCTTGGGAAGCCTTTCTACAGCCTTGCAAAGGTACCCATATGCACTTCTGTCTTCCTGGAAATGATTTCCTATCTTCCACTCTCTTCCAACCCTCAAAGAAAACCCTGGGTCTATCTTTAGATACCTCTAGAATCTAGCTACTTCTTACTATCTCTATTTCTTCCACCTTGGACCAAGCCAACATCATTTCTGATCTGGATTACCATAGTAGATCATAGTTGTCTCCCACTTTGTTCTACTTTTGCAGCGCTCAGCTGATGATCAGCATTATCAGTTGACTCCAGCAACTTCTGGCTCAGAGTCTCTGAGGACTTCTGATGTCACTTAGCCAAAGTGCTGAGATGCTTCATGTGGCTCCAGGTGATGAAGTGCCTTGATCTTTCTATCTCCATTCTGTGAGTATCCATTAGCTCTCTGTATTCCATTACACTAGGTTTTCTGATTCCATCTCAAATACTCCAGACTTCCCTACTCCTCAGGCCATTTTAATTTCACGTTTTTAAAATCAAGAGTGCAGTTAATTCTCTGTAATAAATTCACATTGTGTCCATTTGCCTCCTTCAAATCTTTATCCCAATACAGCCTTCTCTGGGATGTTGTCCATCACCAACCAGTTCATCACTGTCCATCCCATACTTTTTCTCCTTAGTAATAACACATGTGATATCTATATGTAGTTCCTTCTTGTGTGAGTGCATGTCATATATAACTAATGCATTATACAGTCAAAGATTTTCTTCCTAATTTGAAATAGTGTTTCAAAGAGTGGCTGACATATAATATATATTCAATGAATAATTGTTGAATTAATAAAAGAATAAGGAAAGTACTAACATTATCGCCACTTTACACATGGCAAAAAGTAGTCCTAAAGAGGTGACCTAGTGTAATGGTGATGGACATGCATTTGAGTCCTATGATACAGACAAAACAAGTCATATGTGACTTCTGTTATACATGTGATTAAACATGATTATATTGTTACTTTTTGTATCACATAAATCAATTTGAAATTATTAGTTAAGTAGGCCAATTAAATTAATACACTATATAGAATACATACTTGGTGTAAATTACTAATTGAGCATATACATAAAAATAACATACTCCACCTTTATGAATGTGAATACTGTAGCAGAATATACAGATATGTATTTATCTGTTATCCTTAGACATCCACTGTTACACTCATATTCATCATTACCTTCATCGTTATGCCAGTTTTTATCATTGATGTTTTTCTGTTCATGTATCACGCACAACATACATGGCTAACAGTAAACCAGAGAGAAATCTGAATTTACCAGAATCTCAGAAAATTCAATGTGCCTGCCTACCATAATGAATCATCCAGATGAGGGAATCCCACATTTACACATAGGTACATAAAAGTCTAAATCTATCTCATTCCAAATACTACGTATCTTAATGATGTAAATTTCTATTTACATTTCTCCTTTTTTGTTTTTAAAAATCTCCCAGAATTCTGATATACTCTCTGGCATGCTAGGGTTGCCATAAAGAGGTACCACACTGGGTGGCTAAAACAATAGAAATTAATTTCTCACAGTTCTGGAGGCTGAACATCTGATATCAAGTTGTCATTGGGGCTACTTCCTTCTTAGAATGAATGTCCCAGAGAAAATCTATTCCAGGCCTCTCTCCTTGGCTTCTAGGTGGCACCTTCCTTCTGTGCCTTCACATGTCTTCCCTCTGTGTTTCTGTCCAAATTTCTCCTTCTAAGGACTCCAGTCATATTGGATTGTGGCAAATGCCACTAACCTTATTTTAACCAAAGAACCTCTAATGACCTTGTCTCCAAGACATCACATTTGGAGGTACTTTAAGGCTAGGATTGAACATATGAATTTACGGGGAAGAAAATTCAGCCCATACCATTGGTCTCTTCTGGTAGCTTCCCTCACTTTCACGCCCATGACCATCTTCCCATGTCAACATAAGAACTTGGAAGCAGGAAAAAATGAAGCCTTAACATTCCACTTTCTACCTCTATCCATTTCTACATCTTTCTTCATGCTCCCCACTCTCAAAGCTCCAAAGTCTTGATGTTACATGATCAATACTCAGTTCCAAATCTCATCTGTCTTTCACCTAAATCAGGCATGAGAAACTTCAGGTATGATTAATCCTGAGGAAAAATTCATCTCCAGCTGCAAAGCTATACAACCAGACATGTTATCTGCTGCAAAAATACAATGGTGGGGCAGGCAGAGATTTCCAGAAGTGTTCAATCATGAATAAAAAGGGATCATTGGTTGCAGGCAATTCAAAACCTAGTTGGGAAAATTCTATTTGTTTTTAAGGCTTGAGAATAATCCATCCCCCAATTATAATGTTTGTATCCCTGACCCTGGGGTAGCAGAAGCCCTAACCTGATCAATGTCTTTTGAAGCATTTAATGAATTTCTTCTGTGGCTTACTAGCCCACAAAGATTTGGAAAGCTCCGTTCTCTGACTCCATGCAGTAGACATTTTCATGACACTTGATTTTTAAGATATGGCCATGGTTTATCTTTCATCACAATGCCTCATAGCCAATTCTCTCCTCTCTTCTTTTCCCACTTGGGTAATTTCTTCATGTATTTCTTAATCTAGAGTTTTTCTGATTGCTAACTCACCCACAGGGAAGCCCCAACATGGCCATCTCCAGCCCCATACTCCTCTCCCAGGCTGAACTGACTTTCTCCCAATTGCCTATAGTGTACATCAGTACTGTGTAAAGTTTCCCCTGTAAGAGGACGTGAAAACTGATGTCTACACTTTTAAACACCTTAATTCTTGGAGTTCTGTACTAAGAAGAGTAATGCCTTCCATGTATTCTGATTCATTTTGAAATGAAAACATTTTCCACCTTTTCTCATAAGTATTGCAGGGTCATTACTATCCTTTTTCAAGATGGAAAAATTGGACTTGTTGTTTTCTTTCATGGAAGCAAAGGAACCGTACTTGAGGACTAAATCCGGTTCTTCTGGTTCTAACTTCTTTCCCAGGAATTGGCAGGTCTTCTGTATAGATCCTTTTGTGTCCTAATATGAAAAAAATCAATAGTGAGGACAGGGAAAACAAAGACAAAAAGAGATAAGGTGTGACTTGTAGAAGGAGGAAGAGCAGAATGGGGAGAAGCAGAGAGGAAAGACATGCTGAAGTTAAGTTGGATGCAAGAAAGAGGAAGAAAGAGGAATAGACAAAGAAGTGAGAGCCTAACATGATGTTAGGGTCAACATGGACTTCCCATTATGCTTGAGTTTAGAGCTACTTAAAAACAGAATGTAAGGTTTTGAAAGATCTTAGTTTCTAAGAGCTTTTTAAATGCTTTTAGACAATGAGCAAGCAAGAAGAGATACAGGAAGGATTTGGTAAAGATTAATAATTATCCCCAGCCATGAAAATGTAGTTAATGTATAATCAATACTCTTTATTAAAAATATACCAAAATAACACTGTTTTCAATGACTGATATTTGATAGCATAAAATGTTGTAATATCTCTTATGTAAAATCTCAATAATTATCTTGGTGTGTCATCCTCAGAGATCATGAAAAGAGATGGGACTTATAACAGGAAAGACGTAGCTTTGAATCCAAAACCTTCCTCTTACATCATAATTCTTTTATTGTATTTTATTACATGAGTTCCATCTAAACAGAAGACACACAAAGGTGGTAATAACTGGAAACTAAGTTCACTGTGTGAGTTGAAAGGAAACTTACATAAAGGTGTAATGCAATGCATGGGAGTTTGCTAGATATTAAGACTTTTGAGGAATTCATGCTGAGAGAGCCAAAGATTGTGCAGAACAGGCAGCGGAAGATCATAGGAGTTATTTTTGATAGGTAGAAGGAAAGTCTGTGTCTATGTTATTTTCACTTTTTTCAAAAAAGAAAAAGGTCAATTTCTTTTTCAACTCTTCCTGTTGTCTTCTGTTTTTGTGTTCTCTTACATCCAATCAAAAGTTCAAATGTTGTGTAATTTTTCCTTCATATACATTTGATTTTTTGAAAAAGAATTTCAGTATTTAAGCCAAACTTGCCTCAACATTGCAACCCTTTCTCCATCATTCTACTGAGTGCTGCAATTACAGGTATGAGCCACAATGTACAGCTTAATATGGACTTTGACAGAATGTTATTGTACATAGTGATGAAGTTCAGTGTAGCAGTTCAAGACATTTGCCACATGTCATTATCAGAACAGGGTAATTGGCATATATATTGCCTCAAATGTGTATCATTGTTTGTGTTGGTAACTTTCAAAATCCTCTCAACTCCCTCTTTTGACACATCTTTCACAATTCTTTGTTGTGAACCAAAATTACCGTACTTGCTACAGAATAAATGAGTTAATCTTCCTACCCAGCTGGATAGCACTTTACCAGTTTTGACATCACTGAGTGCCCTTCTGTCACACACTACCGAGTCTCTCAGAAGATGCACACAGACTTATTTCATGACTTCTTTCTCCCATCAGTGAAGTTGAGAAGCTTGCTAGATGATTGCACACATCTTTGGAACAAAAGCCTCTGTTCCTAGCCTCCTCTAACAAATAGATTATCAATAGCATCACCTCTTAGTTTACAGAAAGTTTGATAAGCATGATTCAAGCATGAGTCATTGTATGCTGCTTCCATGCATGAGGAAAGCCCTCTGATGTTGTAAGATTAAATGAAGGAGGCATGAAGAAACATCATGGAGAACGGGAAGATTCAATGAGGAGTAGAGTTGTGAAGATCAGGGAGCTAATCTCACTCTTAGTGACAGTGAAGGTGAGGGGGATACACTGAGGAACTGGGGATGTTAGAGGGGGTAAAGATGGTAGTGAGAGGGTGCATGGTGACTGTAAGAATGATGGTTACCTTTTTCAGCTCCTCATAACTCAATACCAGGAAGTTTTCCCTCTCTCTCATAGACATCCAGCCACGAGTGTGCTCAAACCACTATCCATATGGGACTGTATGCAGAAGACAGAAAGTGTGATAGATGAGAACTATTGACATCAGTGGAAAGATCTATAGTCTTCACTCTTCCTTCCACTATGGCTGCTGATTTTAAGGCATAATTCACAAAACTTCCATATATTTACAGTACTCAACATGATGTCTTAAGAAGCACATACATTATACAGCGAAATGCTAAAATCAAGTTAGTTAACATACTCAAAACCATATATAATGAAATAGACATGAAATATAGACAATTGTAGAGGATTCTGAGCATCCTCCATCTCCTGCATTTTACAGTACACTCACCTTTCCCTTGGATGAACCATTCAAAATATTCATCCCATGACTTTGCTATTTTACAAACATTGAGCTTTTTCCAGAAAAAGTAACCAGATACAGCAACATTTCTGGGATTTCTGATGAGATAAATCACCTAAATGGAAAAATAAGAAAATAAAAAATATATGGAGCACTTTCCCATATTCATGAAGCTGATCCTTACATAATTTGAATAAAAATAGCCAATAAACGTCAGTGGATTATTTTATCATTAGTTACAGTGTGCTTTTAACAAATACACCTTGTAATGTTCCTGTGAACCAGTCCCTGTACTAGGAACATAACGATGGAAGAGGAACACATTGTTCCTTGCTTCTGGGTCAGTTGTCTTGTCTGCATAGGAAACCACTGGTTTTATAAGATGACTGTATTCATGGTTGTGTGATACGCTACAAAGATTATCAACAGTGGAATGGGCTAATACAGTATGCTATATCCATAGACACATAGCAATCTATAGTCATCTACACACCCAGGACCATGATGAATCTCACAGACACTACATTGAGTGAAGGAAGTCACACATCTATGTTCATACCCCATGAGTCCACTTAGGTGGAATTCAAAGACAAGAAAATACAATCGATAGCTTTAGGTAAGGACAGTGTTTCCTTCAGTGAGTGCTACTTACTAGGAAGAAGAAAAGGAGAGCTTTCTGGGCAGTAGAAACATTTAAAATCTGGTCTGGATGAACATTGCATTGTTATGAATATATGTGCACATTCCTGAAACTAGTGTTGAAGATTAATGCATACATAAACACACACAAAGACACACACACAGAGACACAGAGACGCAGACACAGACACACACACACACACACAAGCTATGTCACCTGGCATTTAAAAATAAGAACTTTAACTACTTCCCTGATGCAGTTTGGGGTTGCCCTGATTACTGGATTCTGTTTTGTTTTGGGGTTATTTTTGATGACAAATGAAAAAAAATTGTTTTTTATCTTTACAATACTGTTTACACACCCACGCACAGGAAATCAATGTGAGTCAATACCCTGTATAGCTATCCTTATCTCAACCAGCAAAAACCCTTGTCCCTTCCTGTTATTGCTTATACTCTGTCTACAACAAAATTAGAAATAAGGGCAAAATAGTTTCTGCTGGGTATTGGGGGGGTGGGGGGTAGAGGGAGGGAGCAGAGTGGGTGGTAAGGGAGAGTGAGGGCAGGGGGAAGAAATGAACCAAGCCTTGTATGCACATATGAATAATAAAAGAAAAAGGAAAAAAAATAGATAAGTAAATAAAAAAAATACTGTTTACACAGCTAAAACACTATTATGATAATTACATTACAAACCGTTTTCTTGAGTGGGTAGGGGAATGACATGATTACAAACTTGCTTTTTAATGCATAAGATTTTTCTTTGTGGTGTTCCTGCTTTTGTTAATGTATAATACTAGAAAATAATGTGGATAAGCAGATGATGAAAATCAAGACACAAAAATTTTGAGTGGAAACAAGTGTTCTTTCTTTACTTCTTATAGGTTGTAATTAACTCAAATTTCTTTATCTTTAAAAGAGAGTTCAGGTTCTAATGAAGTTAAATCATACAATCATTCCAATTAACAGTCTTTTAATCTACTTGATCTTTCTTTTACATTCATCAATAAAGAAGCAGTTTAAATTCAAGTGGGAAAAAACAATAACTTCACTTTTTATGTTTCACCATTATATTTGTGACATTATTCTAAATTGATTTCTTAATAGTCCTGAATTTGCCAAGCAGAAATTTACCAAACCCCATTAAGACACATGGAAATGTATGTACTAGACAACTTAATTTTTCAAAACAATTGTGACATTTCCAGGGAGAAGGTATTCTTCTATGTTGGTCATTGTAGTTTCAACATAAAACTTAAAAAAAAAATACGTAAGTCAACAAATGTGTTCCAGAATGTTGTGATTCTGAAAACAGTCTATAGTTTATTAGATGCTAAATACACATGGTTGCTGCTGGCAGTCATCTTGCAGCCACATGGGAGTCTTGAGGGCTGCTGATCTCATGAGACAACTAAATGCAACATTGCACAGTGCTATGAAGTGAACCCTTGACTCCAGAAGAGTCACCCTGGATTTAGGCATTTGAGTGTGATCTTGTTTTTCTATCTCTGGGAAGGAGGCATTTTTAAATCATGAATTGCAAATACACAGTAAGCTGATGTAGGAGGATCTGAAGTTCTAGGCCACGCTGGGAAATAAAGCAAATTCCTGGAGAATAGACGGTACATAGTGAAACCTTAGTCAAAATGAAAAGACATTCAGTAATTATCTTGTAGAGAAACATAACAAGGATCTTATTACAGAGAGAGAGAGAGAGAGAGAGAGAGAGAGAGAGAGAGAGAGAGAGAGAGAGAGAGATATTTAAATTGTCTGTGGGTTTAAGATTTGGATTTTTGACTTGGGCCCATCCTTTCACTCTCCCTCAGTTCTGACTAGGATAATCTGTGGAGTGGTGCTCATCCTTGTACTACAGTATGATCTGAGGACTGACCACACCTGCATCAGCACGTGCCTGAGAATCTCAGGTCCCTCCCAGACCTACAGAATGACACTGCATTTTAGCAAGATCTCCAGGACACATCTAGGAACATAAAATTCCAAAAGCATTGATCAAATATTTCTCAATTAGACACTGACCTTTGCCTTGGAACTGAGGAAAGACTTGGGGAAGAGTTGGAAGGGGAGGTGGGTGGCGGTGAATCTTCGGCCCTCCATATTTTTCAGTAATTCAAAACCCACACCACTCTCTACCCCATGGTGAGTGCCCCAAACAGACACAGATTGGACCCACTTGGGATCCCCCTTGGTACAAATCAGGCAGAGAATCTGAACCAACCAGTTGGTTCCTGGATTAAAGAAGAAAAGTGATGGTTACATGCCAATCAAGTAGTGAAAAAGCATTTTGGTACAATACACATAATATAAAACATTAATTATCATAAATATTTTTGAGTGTCTAGTCCAGCAGTGTTAGGTATATTTCCATTGTTGCTTGGCAAATAGTCACAAGTTTTTCATCAGGGAAAACTGAACTTTACCCATTGCACATCAGTTCAATATTAACCCTTACTTACAGTCCTGGTTCACCACCATTCTACATTCAGTTTGGACAAATTTAAATATTCAAGGTATTTCACATAAGTGCAATAATGAATGATATTGGTTCTTTTGCAACTGACTTACTTCACTTAGCAAACTGCCCTAAATATTCATCCATGTTGCAGAATGTGTCAGAATCTTTAAAGATTGAATAATATTCCATGGTGTCTGTGCACTGGTATTTGTTTATGAATTATTTGTCAATGGATACTTATGTTGCTCTCAGCTTGTAGCTATTCACTGAAATCCTTTTACTGTATTTCCATTGCCTTTGGCTTTTCAGTGTTATTCTCCCTTTCATTGCTGATGACGCCCAATCCCACCCAGGTTGTGGAACTCCTTTCCCCACCTCACTGTTGTCGATGCACGATGCACATCCTTTCAGTGCATTGAATTTGCAGGCTCTACTCCAGTTCCTGAGCATCCTCCATGACCATCTTCTTTCTGACGATATCCCTGTCCTCCAAATCTCACATTCATTCTTTTCTATTTAGGTTACATGTCCTTTCTTCTATTATGTCCTTCCTGGTTACTCTCTTCCACTCCTTTTCCCCATACAAGCACAAAGCTGCCCGAATCTGACTTAGGGTCCATGCTATGTATAACTTACATGGTCCCCTCTGAGCTCACAGGTCACTGTGCAGTCATCTGGTGGAATCATTTTGTCTGAATGGAATGGATTCAGCACTGGTCCATGCTCCCCAGGCTCTGTGCGCTGTGTGGCACGTGCTGAGTGCTCATCATCTGTGGAATAGGGAAGAACACGTCATAGCCTTTCTCACAGACGATTTTGTGAATCAATTCCTTACCTGACTTGGGGTAAGACAAACTACAATATCTTCATCCTTCACCACAAAGTTATCATGCACTTCTCTGATGATTTCAGGTTTAAACCACACACAAAGGAAAGGTATTCCCTCAATCCACAGGTAGTCATCATACATGTGTATGGTGTTATGGTGCTGTCTATAACCACCCCTAGAGGATATAGGAGAGGCTAACAGATCTGTTATCGCAATAATAAACAATCATTAACTTCTCCCCACTCATTGCAAAATTAACTGTCAAACATAAGCAGATATTGCACATGATGTTCAAAGGTTAGGTGTATTAGGCAAATGTGATAAGAGTCTGTCCAAGATTTGAGTTCAAATTCATGGGCAGAAACCAGAGATTCAATCAAAGTACAAGCACATACTATACAACACTATTTAAAAATTTTAAATAAATTTTAAATTTTGAATGGTTTTAGTTGCCTGGAAACATTGTGAAGAGAGCTCCCATACTCCATTCTTTATTCTTATTTCTTTCATTTTCACTAGTGTTTTTTTCTCTCAAGGATCCTATCCAGGCTGACATCATATGATACCATACAGTTATCCCATCTCCTTAGGATTCCCTTGGCTTTAAAGTGTCTCAGACTCTTTTTAACATATTTTTAAATTCATTTATTCACATGTGCATACATTGTTTGGGTCATTTTTCCCGTCTGCCCCCACCCTAACCTCTCCCTCCACCCCCACTTCCAGGCAGAACACGTTTTGCCCTTATCTCTAATTTTGTTGAAGAGAAGATGTAAGCATAGTAAGAAAGACAAAGCATTTGTGCTAGTTGAGTTAAGGATAGCTATACAGAGAGATTCCTAAAATTGCTTCCATGTACAAATGTGTTAAAACTCAAGTTGCTTCATGTCTAACTGATCTTTACACTGGTTCCTGATCCCTTTCTCGTGTGGACCTCTGTTGCTTTAAGGTTTCTGTATTAGTTCCGCTGGAGTGGGGACATCAAATGCTTTCATGTTTTGGGTTTACTACCTATCTCCATACCTCCCATATGTGCTCACCCCTTGTCATGTTACCTACGTCCAACCACATTGCTATATTTGCCCTTGATCTAAAGTCTGCATATGAGGGAGAACATGCGATTTTTGGTCTTCTGACCCTGGCTAACATCCTCAGAATGATGTTCTCTAGTTCCATCCATTCACTTGGGAATGATAAGATTTCATTCTTCCTCATGGCTGAGTAAAATTCCATTGTGTATAAATACCACATTTTCTTGATCCATTCATCAAAAGTGGAGCACCTTGGTTGTTTCCATAACTTGGCTGTTGTGAATAGCACTGCAATAAACATGGGTGTGCAGATGCCTTTGGAGTAACCTGAGTCACATTCCTTTGGATATATCCCTAGGAGTGGGATTGCTGGATCATATGGCAGATCTATGTTTAGATTTTTAAGAAGCCTCCAAATTTTTTTCCAGAGTGGTTGCACTAGCTTGCATTCCCACCAGCAGTGTACAAGGGTTCCTTTTTCTCCACATCCTTGCCTACACCTGTTGATGGTGGTGTTTTTGATGATGGCTGTTCTAACAAGGGTGAGATAGAATCTTAGTGTGGTTTTGATTTGCATTTCCTTTATGGCTAGAGATGGTGAACATGTTTTCATGTATTTTTTGGCCATTTGAATTTCTTCTTTTGAAAAGTTCTGTTGAGTTCATTGCCCATTTCTTTATTGGTTCATTAATTTTGGGAGAATTTAATTTTTTAAGTTCCCTATTTATTCTGGTTATCAGTCTTTTGTCTGATGTATAGCTGGCAAATATTTTCTCCCACTCTGTGGGTGGTCTTTTTAGTTTAGAGACCATTTCTTTTGTTTTTCAGAAGCTTTTTAGTTTTATTAAGTTCCATTTTTCCATTCTTTCTCTTAGTTACTGGGTTTCTGGGGTTTTATTGAGGAAGTCCTTGCCTATACCTATTATTTCCATATTGTTTCCTGCTCTTTCCTGTACCAACTTTAGAGTTTGGGGTCTGATATTAAGGTCCTTGATTCATTTTGAGTGATACTAGTACAGGGTGATAAACATGGGTCTATTTTCAGTTTTTTGTAGACAGTTAACCACTTTTCCCAACAACATTTGTTTAAGAGGCTGTCTTTTCTCCATCTTATATTTTTAGCTCCTTGGTCAAAAATAAGGTGGGTATAGTTGTGTGGATTCATATCTGGGTCCTCTATTCTGTCCCACTGGTCTTCATGTCTGTTTTTGTGCCAGTACCATGCTGTTTTTATTGTTATTGCTTTGTAATATAGCATTTTTCTTTTTGCTTTGTGTTGCCTTGGCTATTCATGGTCTCTTCTGTTGCCAAATGAATTTTAGGGTAGATTTTTCAATTTCTATGATGAATGTCACTGGAATTTTGATGGAAATTGCATTAAACATGTAGATTGTTTTTGATAGTATAGCCATTTTTAGTATGTTGATTCTACCAATCCATGAGCATGGGAGATCTTTCCACCTTCTGTAATCTTCCTTGATCTCTTTCTTTAGGGGTTTGTAGTTCTCCTTGTAGAGATCTTTCACATCTTTTGTTAAGTTTACTTCTAGGTATTTGATTTTTTTGAGGCTACTGTAAATGGAATTGTTTCCATATATTCCTTCTCAGTTTGTTTGTTGTTGGTGTATAGAAAGGCTAATGATTTTTGTAAGTTGATTTTGTATCCTGCCACCTTGCTATAGCTGTTGAAGGTGTCTAGGAGTTTTTCAGTGGAGTTTTTTGGGTCTTTAAGGTATAGGATCATATCTTCTGCAAATATTTTCTTTACCTATTTGTATTCCTTTTATTTCTTCTTCTTGCCTAATTGCTCTGGCTAGAAATTCCAGTACTATGTTGAATAGGAGTGGGGATAGTGGACACCTTTGTCTCTTTCCAGATTTTAGGAGAAATGGTTTCAATTTTTCACCATTAAGTATGATGTTGGCTGTAGGTTTGTCATACATAGCTTTTATAATGTTGAGGTACATTCCTTCTATTGCTAGTTTTCTTAGAGCTTTATCATGAAGTGGTGTTGGATCTTGTCGAAGACTTTTTCTGCATCTATTGAGATGATCAAGTGGTTTTTGTCTTTGCTTAGTGTGCTGTACTACATTATTGATTTGCATATGTTGAACCACCCCTGCATTCCTGGGATGAAGCCGACTTGGTCATGGTGAATGATCTTTCTGATATTTTGTTGAATTCAGTTGGCCATTATTTTATTGAGTATTTTTGCATAGATGTTCATTAAGGAGATTGGCCTATATCTCTCCTTTTGGGAGGTGTCTTTGTCTGATTTTGGGATGAGTGTAATACTGGCTTCATTAAATGAGTTAGGCAGTTTTCCTTCTCTTTCTATTTCATGGAAGAGTTTAAGGAGGGTTGGCATTAGTTCTTCTTTAAATGTCTGATAGAATTCAGCAGAGAATCCATCAGGTCCTGGACTTTTCTTTTTTTGGGAGACTCTTTGTTGCTGCTTCAACTGCATTTTGTGTTATAGATCTATTCAGGTGATTTTTTTTTAATTCCGGTGATTAATGTACTCTTGGTTCAATTTTGGATGATCTTAAGTATCTAGAAATCTGTCCATTTCTTCAAGATTTTCAAATTTATTAGAAGTAGTCTCTGATGATTTCCTGATTTCCGTGGTGTTTTTTGTTATCTCCCCTTTTGCATTTGTTTTACTGATTTGGGCTTTTTCTGTCCTCATTTTAGTCAGGTTTGCCAGAGGTCTGTCAATCTTATTTATTTTTTGGAAGACCCAGCTTTTTGTTTCATTTATTCTTTTTGTGTTTTTTTTGTTTCTATTTCATTGATTTCAGCCCTTATTTTTATTATTTCTCTCTTTCTGCTTGTTTTGGTATTTGCTTGTTCTTGTTTTTCTAGGACTTTGAGATGTAGCATTAGGTCATTGATTTGAGATCTTTCTGACTTTTTAATATATGCACTCATGGCTATAAACTTTCCTCTTAGGATCAGACTTTTTTTGAGACAGGTCTCTCTATGAAGAGGAAGTTTGCCTTGAACCCATGCAAATTCTTACTCCATTTCCACAGTGCTGGGATCTCAGGCATGTGACACCATGCCCACTGCATTCTTTCTTTCATTTTTCATGTCCTTAACACCTTTGAGAAATACCAGTCAAGTGTTCAGTTGATTGTCTCTACATTGGAAATCATTGGATGTCCTTCACAGAATTAGACTGGGATCTGGGTTTTGGTAGGAAGTCACAGAGGTAAGATGCATTTATTGTTAATTATGTCAAAGGTTATTATCATCACTTCATATAGTACTCATGACATTGACCACAGTCCTCAGAGGTGTTGTTTGTCCAATTTCTCCATTGCAAATATTCTGTTCCCCTTTCTACTCTACTTTAGCATACTTTACACATATTTATGCCTAAATATATTTGTGTGAACACATTGTGTAAGCTCTTTTTAACAGGCAGTCTTCAACATCATTGGCCTACCTGGCTTAAGTTGTCCAGTGTTATGAAAACAAAGGAAGGCTGAACATATGTTCCACACGAAAGGAAAATGTGACCTAAGTGTACTGTGAAGCCTGGAATAGACCCTGATCCACCTGCATCCAGGAAACCTTCTCTTATGTTATGGAAACAACTGTCCAAATTTCAGTGTGCAATATGGGTTCAATGATAATAATTTACAGTGCTGAAATTCTATCATTTCTATAATTTTACTGTTTATGTAGGACATATTTTGGGTCTCAGATGATATACACTGCAGATCTGAAGGATAAAAAGGAATGGCATCTGCTACTTTCTCTCAAATGATTAGGTAAAAATTGCATAGAAATGAGAGTTAAAGTGACAAGGATCTCACACATGTTGCAAAATGTCATCATTTCAGTCATATTTTCCTAAAATTAAAGGCAGGGTATCATTGATCAGATTACCCAAGGATTTAAAGAAAGATGACATCAATGTTGACTTACTTAAGTGTCTCCTCATCATCTGAATATGAAATGCACATGCAGATATTTAATGCATTTGTCTTTGTTATTTTTAAAATTCCCTTTTTTATTTATTTTAATTGTTTTATTATTCATATGTGCATACAAAGCTTGGGTCATTTCTCCCCCCTGCCCCCACCCCTTCCCTTACCACCC